CTTCCTTTCTTTCTTTGTTTTCTTTTCTTTTCTTTTTTTTCTTTTCTTTCTTTCTTTCTTTCTCTTTATCTCTTCTTCCTTCTCTTTCTTTTTTTTCTTTCTTTTCTCCTTCTCCTTCTTCTTTTTTTAACAAAGTGCTTTTCCAGTCTTTCACAACTAATCCTGATTAAATCCTGGAAAGGCATTCTAATAGATGGACAAAGAGCAACTCAGAAGAGGTACCTTAGCAGAGTTCACAGGGTGAACGCACCATCCCAGCCCCTGACTAAACAGGTACCCCATTTTTGAACACATCAAATTACTTCTTATATGTAAAAAAGAAAAAAGAAATAAACAAACAAAGAAAAAAAAAAGAACCTACTGAGTGATGTAGTTATGATGGAACTATGCCAGTACAGCCTCACTCCCGACACAGCACTGCCTTGGCCGGGGTGTTAGGACCTGTGAGAGAACAGCCATGCTTCCCATTGAGATTCTCCCTTTCTTTGTGGCACTGGGGATTTAACCCATATGTGCTGTAACACTGAGCTACATTTCCAATCCTTTTTTATTTTGAGATAGGGTCTCGATAAGTTGCTGAGGTTCTGACTAAGCTTCTGAGGCTGCCTTGAACTTGCAAACTTCCTGCCTCAGCCTTCTGACTTGTTTGGATTATGGGCATGCACCACTGCAGCCAGCTTGCTCCCTGTTGATTCGAATGAGCATTCAGAGTTGAGTGAAACCCACCAGGCTCCAGCCTTCCCTGCTTTTGCAAAAGAATGAAATGCATAGTCCAATAGTGTAAGGAACCTTACCCAACCCCTGATCTGCACCTCAAAATTGCAAATCATAGCAACGGAAAGCAGGGATGGTTTAACTTCAGGTACCCTGGTGGGTAATTGCCCCATAATCCTTCTGAATTAGCAATAAAAAATATTGGTACAGCTGGGAATGGTGACATACACCTGTAATCTCAGCAACTCTGGTGGCTGAGACAGGAGGACTGCAAGTTTGAGGCCAGCCTCAGCAAATTAGGGAGGTCCTAAGGACTTAATAAGACCCTGTCTCAAAACATTAAAAAGGGGGGGCTCAATGATTAAATGACTCTGGGTTCAATCATAGGTACAAAAATGTATAGATAGATAGAAAGAAAGAAGCCTGTACCCCCAGCTCTTCTCCCAACCACACAGATAGCAAGAACAACACACCACCTCTACCCAATGCCAAGTCTTAAATGGCTATGTTTGGGAGTTATTAAATCCAAGAAAACTACCAGAAGTAGTTCCAGTTAGACTATGGGTTATACAAAAAAAAAAAAAAAATCTTGCACATGAGCCCAAGAATAAATACAAGGCTACAAGCCTTGGTGTTGAAATTAAATGGTGCAATTAAACAATTTCTTCTAAGTTCAAGTCAATGTCAAAACACTTCCACTTCCACTGACTTCATCAGGATAAGACAACAAGAGAGAATAGGGGTTTTACTTGAAGAATCACCTTGACACTCTGAATAATGAAAGGAAGTCAGGAATCTGCAGATCTGCAGACATCCTCCTCTTTAGAGGAAAAGTTGAACTCTTACCCATTTTTTTAAAACTGCTATTCTATTAAAATAGCTATCATCGAAAAATGAAAATATTCGCATATAGAATATTATGAATACCCCACAAGAGACATTCAGCCACAGAGCGCTGAGTGTTGAGAGAAAGCAGTGGCCAGAGAGATTCCATCAATTCCCAAGTAATAAACAGGGTTTGCGTAGGCAGAGACAGGTTGCTTCAAATGCCAGGAAGAAACTAAAAGGGAATGACCAAGTGACTCACTCAATCACATACTCCTCCATTTGCTGTTAGTAATCTATTAACTAAAACCTTAACAGCTTTTCAAAGTCCAAGGTAGCAGCATTTTAAGGGAAAGAGTTATAAAAATGTAAAATAGCAAAGAACTGCTGTCTAGTGGGGAGAAAAAAACACAAGCTAGATAAATATTTAGCAAAGAGAGAAAGAGAGAAAGAATGAAGAGAAGGCTCAATTCAATCGGGATTAATATAACAACAAATCAGTTGCTTTACTTTGTTTTGCCAGAAGAGGAAAACTGTTACCAACAAATAATGACCGTTGTAATAGAGGTGAACTGAGTTGTCAGCTGAAGTTAATGCAGACGACGGCTCCACCAGATCATGATTTAAACTCCTGATTTAATGCTTAAATCCTCCATGCAATGGCAATGAATTCATTTCTTTTTGTCAGCTGTGGTCACAGTAAAACGTGCACCCAATTGGCAGAACTGGAGGCTCTCTTGCTGAGGCTATCCTACCTGGTTTGCAGTGTCTGGATTTGTCTTCTCACATCAGAGGGGCTGCACCTTGGATTCATGTAGATGTAGAGCTAAGTTGAACAAAGCAAGGCTTCCCTGGGTTCAAGTTCCACCTCTACCTCATTGACCAACATTATTTGCATAAAAAGGGATTATAATTGTACTTACAAGGTCACTGGGAGGATTAAATGAATCCAAACTTGGCAAGAATTTAGAATAATGTAGGAATGAGGTGTGTGCTCAATAAATATTTGCAGTATCATATTCATTATTAATCTCTCAGAAGTCAACTTGATTAAAACTAAAGTCAGGGACATTATCATCCACATATAATTATGATTTTTTAAAAAAAATAACCTTTCAAAGTTAAAAAAAAAAA